GATAAAGATACAGGAGCACTGCTGACACATAACACATGGGTAAGCATACCTTATGCCTACTATTATTTGCGTCTACTAATTTTAGCGAAATCAGCAAAAGTCATGTTTAGCATTACTAATTTTAGTGTTTTTAACCAAATTAACTATAAATAATAACCATTATAATGAATAATAATTATTTTAGCATTTATTTAATTTAGCGGTTTAAAACTCTCTCGTAGTAGACGCTAAAAATAGTAGGCTTAAGGTAACTATATACGGTATATGCTTATTGTTTAAAACTTCTTATTATTCTTCTTCTTTCATAGTGTTAATAATATTTCTCATTATTCAGGAGTACAAGCCACCCACTACTAAAGATATTCCCATTGATTTCAGAGTTGAGCTGCTTAAAAACGCACCAAATCCTCTAGGAATACTTGGCTCTAAAGGTAACTCTTACTCTACTATTAGTATGCAGTGGTTTAATGTATGGTATTGTCCTTATTTTGTAGCTGTTGGTGAGCCTCCATTGCTGATGAGCAGTGGTGTGTTATTTGCTCTCAAAAGAGCTGTGGAGAGTGCTAGACATGATGCTGGTAATAGTGATCCTTTTATTTTAAGTAAGCTCATGCAAAATATTGCAATAGTAAAATGAATGCTCTTTCTGTTGTAGATGCTCTGGCTACTGTAGAAGCAACACAGCAAGCTTGTCTTGTTGATCCATTGAGATTTGAATTTTAACATGAAATAATCATGATTTTATTGTTTTTATTGAACCAGCATTGTGTCACGTGTTTGCAGTATACTATGCTAAAAACCGCATATTCTCCGTATCATGAGCTATTTTAATTTTTAACTCTCTTCAAAATGGCTGATTTTCTATTTGCTGCTCTGACGATTGCTCTATTCTTCTCTCCTCCTGCATCTAGTGCTAGTGAGGATGACCCAGTTCCTCTTGTAATATGGTCTGGAATGGGTTAGTTATTAAAGCAAGGGTTTAGATAGCTTGTGAGTGCATTTTCCAAATATTGCAAGTCACTTCCGTCCCAGTGTTGATTTTTGATATTTTAGGTGACAGCTGTTGCTATGAATATGGTGCTTATCAGTTTAAAGTTGTCCTGGAACGTCTTATACCAGGCATATATATCAAAATGGTTGCTTTTGGAAAGACTCCTACAGAGGTAAATAAAGGGTCTATGGTCGCACCAGCAATATCTCATCATTCTCCTCCTCATCTTTCTATTGTTAGGATTCATACAACAGTTTCTTTCTCAATTCTAATAAACAGGTTGAACTAGCTTGTGATTTACTATCATCAGATGAGATGTTAGCTAATGGTTTTAATGCAATGGGTTTCTCTCAAGGATCACAATTCCTGTAAGTTATTGTCTGCCAAATTTTGTCAAAATTAAAAGGAGAGATTTCTCCATTTTTAATGTATAATGATAATGTACATGTACTTATATTGTGTAGAACGTTTTTACAAATTTTTTAAAGTTGCTTCAAAATTGGACTAAAGTCCCTGTACAGGCTGTACTATAGTACAGGGTTTTTGGCTAAATTTTACCAAAAATGAAAAGAAGAGAATGTTTTATTTTTATAATTTTTCCTGATGCATATACATGTACTTATATTGTGCAGAAAGTTTGGGGTGATTCCGATCAAATTCAATTTTTACAAATTTTTAAAGTTACTCCAAAATCAGGCCCAAGTCCCTGTACTATGTACAGGGTTTTTGACCAAATTTCGCCAAAAATTAAAGGAAGAGAATTCTTAATTTTTATAATTTTTTAAAATGCATATACATATTTTTTTGTTATGTAGAAAGTTTTAGCTGATTCCGTTCAAAATTGAATTTTTTACAAACTTTTAAAGTTGTTCCAAAAGTCATTTTACATGCTTGTACTATTGTAGCAATATTCAGTTCATGAAACTATGGCCCTCAATATTACCCACTGTATACTGTAATCTACTGACATACCGTATAGCTGGAAATATTTGCTGGAATTTAATTTTGCTGTTTGCTGTTCATCATAAAAACGCACAATTTAATTCCGCAAAGTATTATAAGTAATGGGTGTATCAACAGTACACGCCTACACCAGCAAAATTAAATTCCACAAACATTAAAATAAGCTATATGGGTACAAAATCGCAAAATATAATTCCCGCAAACTTTTCCAGCTATACGGTAGTGACATTTGTTTTATTGTAGGCGTGCACT